TTACAATAAAATATAAAATAGAATTTAAATATTTTTAAATATGTATAATAAAATAGAGATTAAAAACTAATTAATGTTTTTCTGTGACACTACCGGACTATTTTAGAAAAATTTATTTTCAGGATAGGTTGCAATTGCATTACAAACAATCAAATTAAGGTTGTATCATGTACAAAATATATTTATTTTTTATTATTACAAAGAAAACGGCACATTTTGAAATTTACAACAATGTTGAAATTGTAGTAATTTTGCGGAACGTAACATTAATGAAAAACTACATTATTTTGAATGTAATGATCTTGTTTTGATATACATATATCTTAATCTTAATTAAAAAATCAAATTATATTGTAGTTCTATCAAAGAATAATAAAATATATGTATTTAAGGAAAAAAAAACAAAAATATTAAAATTAAATACATTGCACAAAAATGATGCAAGAATATAAAAATAAATATTTCTTATCATAAACATTGCTTCTTAATGTTATATATGAAGAAGAGGAAAACACACCCAATTTTTATCATGTTTAAGCAGTAGAAGAACACATTTCGCTTTTATATCATCAATATCCCATGCTTGTAATTGTTCAGATAACTTTGTAACACAAAAAATGTTTAATTTTTTAGAATCAAACGGATACAAGTAGAGTGATTCTGATGAAATGTATTGTTTTCCAATTAATTTTGTTGAACCGTTTGTAGTTAATATTATGTTATTAATCTGTACTACTTTATTATTTTTACTTAAAAAATGTGAATCAGCAAAACAATGTGAATAGGTGGATAAAACGTAGTCTCTAATACTAATCTTCTTAAATTGTTTAAAAATATTTATAACACTTAATAATGGGCCATTATTGTGTTCTAAAAAATGCTTAAGAATTGGGTGATTTGGTTCTTGGTAAGGATTACTTAAAAATATTTCATGTAACCTACGACATACTTGTTGAAGTGGTTTTCGAGATGATTTTACTAATTTTTTCAATGAGCCTAAATAATTTTCATATGGAAAACAGGACTAATTATCTAAAGGTCCATACATTTGTACATCACTTGTCAAATGACACAATATATGCACATTGTAGACATAAAACTCAAAACCATATATTTTTTCTGCATAATTAATAAAAGTTTCAAGTAATTCCTGCGCTAATAATAAGCCTAAATTATTAATATTGTGTTTCGAAGTGAGAATAGATATAGCTGAATGAAATAGGAGAAAATGCTCATAAACTGATATATCAAGTATATCCCGTAAAACAACAGGTCCTAGGTAAAGTAAAAAACTCCTAAACTCAGTTGCTTTCCATCTACATAAATCTGTTAAGCTTCGTGGTTTTCGATTAAATTCAGAAGGCATGAATGAACCAAGGGCCACTAACTTTTTAGATAATAAATCAGTTAAGCGATGACCTAATTTAACGTTAGATTTACCACTTATCCAAGTATGTAGTAATTTTTTTGTAACACCTAAACACACTCCATGCATATAATCAAGGAGGAACTGTGTAACCATTCCAATTTTTAATTCAAGAAGGGGCGAAATGCCAACATGATGGTCTTCATCACGTTGCAAAACAAATGACTCATCTGTTCTCCTTCTTGCATTAGTATTTCTCAGAATAATACGCCGTTCAAAATATATACCACTTTCTTCACATTTTTCGCAACAAGAATATCCATTATGATTTTTTACTTGTTTTATATAAGCCCTAGCCGGAGCATCACATACAAAACTATGAATTTTTATATTAAAGAATCTATCATTTACTTGAAGTCCATTTTTTAACAATAAAGAAAGTTCTGTTATGAAATCTTCAAGATATAAATGTAAAGGAGATGGTTTAGACTCACCATAAAAAATTCCTATAACAAATGGAGACATATTTTGCACATTTTTTACAAGACCTAAAATAGGCCATAAATGTTTATTTGTGCTATTAAACAAAGGGAGACCGTCAATGTTAAAACTTAGCTCTATAGTATTTCCAACATGAAACTTTGCAATATTTTGTAAATTCTGTGTTAAACCAATATGACAGTACTCTCCTGTATCTAATTTCTTTGTATTTATAGATACTGGAGTTTCCAGCAAACTTTTAGAAGTTAAGGGCAATTCAGGATGAAAATGATGCAAAATGTGTAAAAGGTCTGTTAAGGCGGAGTGAGATATGTTATGTTTAATAACAGCCCAATGTCTTATCAACTTACAAAGATTAGAATCAGATGTGCTTTCATCCTCTATATTACCAATTACATTATCTAACTCGCAACTTAAATTTAAGGAAGACTGATTTTCAGTACGCTCAATATCAAAAGTGCCAATATCATCGTCAGAAGTGTCATTAGATACTATTTCTTCGTTTTTATTATAATATTTTTCTATTTTATCACGCTTTACGTTCTTTTCTTGATTATGCTCTTGAGAATTGGACACAATCAATTCTTTAAAAAATTTTACCTTCTCATTGGCAATTCTTCGATATAACTGTCGTTTTCCAACGCAACACTTTCTGTATGACATTAGAGACATGGTGCAATTAATTATTGTTCTTCTTCTTTACACGTTGAGGAGCGTGTTTTAGCCAGACTTTTATTGAATTTTCAATGGCTTGATTGTTAGCACCTTCTGTCGTAGATTTAACTGCGTCTGAAAAAAATTAGGGTGATAAAAGTCTTCATGTTTACAAAATTACTTCCAATTTTTTAATATTTTATTAAAATATAACAGACATAAAATTATTTTAATTATTTGAAATTAAATATTTTTATTTAAAAAGATAAAAAAAATTTCTTACTTATTATAATATCTTTTATCAATAAGGAAGAAAATGGTTTCTTTCCTAATCTTTTTTCATAAAAACTATAGTTTCGACACAATTCATCTGAGAACAACTGTTTCAAAATTTTATTTGTTTTGCTTGCAATATCCCGACCTCCTAAACTAGACAGAAATGAACACTACAAACAAATATTTTAATTAATTGTCAGTAAAATTAAAAAATGTTTTTTATACAATATAAACATATTTTGCATATATATTTACCAAATTATGTGAATTATCTTGATCTGTAATAAACGTTTCCAAGAGATCTACACTTTCATCTGTTTGTAATGGTAGATTAACAGGTAAATTTTCCGGCACAGAAAAAATGACAGCACCTTTTGCTTGAGGAGCTTTTCTAATATAAGCTAATATCTGATTATTTTGTTCTTTAATAGTGATAAAAGTTTCTACTATTTGTTTGTTTAGTGCTAAAAGAAGAACACAAATAAAATATGCATATTACTTCAATAACTGCATTATGAATATACAACGTAAGATATCTTATTTTACCTTTTTCATCCAGTTCATTATTATTTAA